CACCCCCCCCCCCCCTTCCACAGTTGGCCAGGGATTTCTATTAAAAGACTGATTTTTTTTCCACGCAGTCTTGAACGCATTTGGCGTCAGATGTCGCAAATACCAAAGTTCAGCGAATCCATTTCTTTGATCAAATAATCCGTATCTGATACACCGCACCGATGAACTCTGTGACCCCGATGATCGTATGGTGGAATATACAGGCGAAATGCAGTAATGCTGTTTGCTCGTCTGTTTCCGAAACCATACAAGGCGTTTCGATTATATTTTGCGTCGAAAATTGTTGCTGTAATTTCATTATTGATCGTATTTCATACAAGAACTTTAATAAAAAAAGTCGCCCGGCAACAATTACGGAATATCTGACGTATTACTTAAAAATCAGGGTTTTTTTTAAAAAAAAAATAATCTACATATGAAAATTATAAACCGTTACATTCTTTGCATAATTAAGGAACGTAATACAATTTGATGTAGTGCAGTCTCAAATTTGATTTTGTACTGAGTTATAATAATTGAAAGTGTTGATTTCAAAATGATCACCAACCAGTTTTTGATTGTTTTATAGACAGTTCTTTATTTTCAATGAATCTCGACCAAAGACATCCTGATTGTTACGAAAAAGTGAGTCATCATAAAACGCGTTATTATATCACTTGAAGGTCGTTTTGAGGTTAGGTTTATATCCAAATATAATGAAATAACTTTTGTGTGGCAACATTATCTGTTTAATAGATCTGTATCTGTAGCCAACACGAACGTGAGATGCAAATTTTAAAAAAAAACTATCCCAGATCAGATTATAGAAGCAGTTGTCCTCAGCGGTCAATAATTCCACCACGGCTTCTTGGATAATGAATCATTGTCAGTCTCTGGCAAAAAGGAAACCACAGCGCGTGATGGTGCCTTGCGAAGTTGGGCATGGCCCCGTTTGTGACTGATTTATGTGTGTACCACATATAATTTGAATGGTGGCTCCATCTTTGAACACGAGGTTTTATTTCCTGGTGAAACAAGTCGGCAGGAAAGCGAGAACAGACGACAATCGCAGTGCGTGAAGAGAAAAGCGAATGCTTACACGAAAAGTGAAACTCAATTTGATTTGATGCTCTGATACGTCTTGTTTCTTGCCTAAATATAAGTGTAATTAAGAAATTCTTAAAGATATCGTGTCTGAAAGACAGATAAATAAGTTTTAAGAGATAGCAGTGGTATTCTAACCAAATTTTGCCGAAGTCCAACGAAACTTCCATTTGTATCAGCTCATTGCTTTGATTCAGAAGGTTACGTATAATATATTTTATTTCAATACTGTACAATATAATTTTGCGATGAAATAGAAAATGGAAGAGGTTTAGACGGGAAGTAAATCTGTTTATTTTACATAATAAAAGGCCTGGATACCGCATACGTCGGTTAGTGAGACGCGAAGCGATAAGCAATTGTCTTTCTCTGCATTGCGCCTTGCTGGAACGGCAACCGCTCATACACGCAAATGATGTCATCTAGCGGCTGGAGACCAACGTTTTGTTGCATTGCACTTGTAAATTATTGTTGCCTCGACACGCCCGGGGCAAACCTTGGCAATGCAGTCATGTTTTGATGTAGCTGCAGACCTTCGTAATGAAGAGGTACAATCTGAATTCTATCTTCGCCACCTGACGCGTTTGAAAAATATCGACGCAATTTACGAGTACAACATTTCTTGCGTCTGTGGTAACTATTTGTACCGACAATCACTAACTCTGGATTTTGCCCACAGGGGGCATTAATATGTTTCGTATGATTCTTAGCGTAAACAGCGATTATTTCCTTAAACAGCGTTAACCATTTGATCTTTGTAATGGTGAAGTGGGGTGTTTACTTCGCGGTACGGACTGAATTCTTAAATATTAATTAGACGAGCTTAGGCTTCAAAGGGTTAACCATTTGATCTTTGTAATGGTGAAGTGAAGTGTTTTCTTTGCGGTACGGACTGAATTCTTATATATTCGGCTTCAGTGGTTTGTGGCCAGTAACATGAATCACGGTACGCAAAATAAACAAAATTGCTTCTGTGAATTTTTCAGGTGGATTTGTAGTACGCTGTGTGCCCATCTCGGGAATAGATGTCCGGAACGTGACTGAAGCTACTGCAGAGTTGTGTAGTCATACATGACAACATTGGAAGGAAAATGTCATCCTGACAAAGTACGATTTTTAGAGGTATACATTCTTTTACGTATTTTAGACAATTTTACTTCAGCCATACGGAAAATGCAAGGCGCCAGGAGTTTATAAGTGTATCTGTGGCGACGTTGGCTAATAGGATAGTCGTCGCCTCGTAATTTAAGCTGGCGAGATACGTTACAGAACACAAGCTAAAAGCATTGCCATTACAAAACCAGATTTTGAAAGGAGTTTCTTTAATCTTATCTTCAACCTAAGATGACAAATAATCTTAGGTGCTCAAATGTAAATACGTAATTTGCCTGTACCCTTCACCGCAGGAACATTTCTACAACACAAACTGAAGGCATGTAAATTACTCTGGTTTGTTATAATTCCACTCGCAATTCGGCTTCTAAGAGGATCTCTAAGTAAATACGTTTAACCCTTTGAAACACGAAGATCATCTAAATAATATTAAAGAATTCAGTCCGTACCGCGAAGAAAACACAACGCCTCACCATTACAAAGATCAACTGGTTAACCCTTTGAAGCTCGTCTAAATATTATTTAATAAATCAGTCCGTACCGCGAAGAAAACACAACGCCTCACCATTAAGAAGATCAACTGGTTAACGCTGTTTAAGGAAATAATCGCTGTTTATTCTGAAAATTATATAGAACCCATGAATACACTCTGTGTGTAAGTTTAAGAATTACTGTGTTTTGAATTGCACGGTACACGTAGCTTTTAAAGGATTAAAATAATTTGTCGTTCGACAAAACACTTGCTTGCCTACTTATAGGCCTACGCCTTATGAAACGAGGATTAAGAACACACAGAGAAGTTTACATTCGAACCCACTGCATGGTTACGCGAGATAATTCGAGGAGATGGGAGGAGAGTTTGGAGTTGTCGATTGGATTCGTCTGGCTCAGCATCTGGACCTGTGAACACGCTGATGAGCCTTCGGGGTCTGATAAAAGTTGAGAAATCTCTTTTACTACTCGAGTGAGTTCGCTTCTCGTGAAGGGTTTTCTTTTCCATGGAATCAGGATGAGGTTGCGACACCGCGTCCTATCACTAACTTTCACCCACTTAGCTAATCGTTGGCACACTAACTGCCGGCCGCCGTTATGTTACATGTGGCCAGTTCTGAATCGCTACTACTCATGCCAAAACAATTGCCCCGTTACCTCCTCGGTTGTTGCGTCGCGTAGTATTTTGGCTGAGTGCCAACGTTTCAGAGAAGGAACCTACTGCCTTCATCATCAGGTCTGAAGTGAGGAGAATTCGCGTCTATCTTCCCCGTCTGCTTCCGAAAGGTAATATATTTTTAATCTTTATCCTCCCGTGGGTAAATGAAAGCAGATCTTCGTGGCTTAAAAAGTTTTAAAATGTCCGCGTCGTCTGTAAATGACTTTGCATGTTGACGAAGGACTGATGAATTTCATGGAGTTAACTTTTGTCATAATATATTTCATTGAGCAGAATTGTTATGAGTCGATTTTAATCGTCACGGGCTTAACCCTTTGATACCAAAGCTCGTCCAAATAACGTTTACAAAATTTATTTATCTCACATAAAACACGAGTCTCCATTACAAAAATTAATTTTTTTTAATGCTTAGATGAAATAATTGTTGTTTGTTCACTTTATTAATAATTATGCTAAATAATACACTGTGGGGGGAAAAATGTGAAATTACTAATTGTTTAAACACTCTGTTTTAATGTAAAATATCAACCGGATATTACCAATTAAAAATTTGTACGAGGCACCGTAGCTCGCAAATCGATGTTCACCAAATTTGGCCTCAGGAGATCGTATGGCTAACGTCCAGTCCTCGGAATAGGTTCGCCCCGGCCACAACATTGACGTCACGCAACACGTGTTCACGTTTATAGATTCAGTTCTGTTAATAATAAAGATGGTGGATGGATAACAAACATCTGACAGACAATTCAGATTCAATTCGTTTATTTCGGTTAAAAAAAAAACAATCATTCCGAACGATGAGCGGCTAACGAAAGTGTTCTGAAAGCGTTGGACGTTATGCACTGTTTCGATTACTCTTGCCTGTGTTTCAATCGCAAGTGTAGTGACTGGAGTAGAACGAGGCTCCGTCACGACACCTGACACACTTAAATAGCGTTTCATTTGTTTCTCGCACGTGTTAGCGTTGCAACCAGTCACTTGGGAGTGTGGGGACTCAGCTGTGGCTGCGTCACGTGCACTAATGACGTAATGGCCAGTACTGCCAACTGCGGCGTTAAAATACGCTAGTGGGCCAGAACAATGGATATAGTATGTCACACCCGTTTCATGGCTTTCATTAGGTTTAGGGCTGTTATAACTCACTTAAACTCAATTACTAATACGTCTACATTATCATCATAGTTATCATCCATTGTCGTCTTTTTTTTGGGAGGAAGAAACATTGCTTATTAATGTATAATAAAATTTTCATTTTCTCTTTGTTTCCACGTCCAAGACTGGTGTGTGTGTTGGTCTTTGTGCTGTAGGGGGAAGTGTTTTTGGAGCAGGGTGTATTGATGTAGACACTGGCAACTTGAACCTGCCGTAGCTATGAATAGGGCATGCGTGAACAATGAATTAACAACACTGAGATTGATTCGACTGAATATTCTCGCTTCTGAAGATATAAGCATCAGAAATTTTAAACAGATCTTGGTTTTCTCCCGTTTAATTAGTAGTTTATGAACGACGTTGTATCAGCAACTAAGGATAATTAATGTTCGAGTCGAGATAAAACTAGGTATCCTTCGGCGAGATAATTAACTGCCTTCTACATGTGCAATTACTGTTTCAGGTAGACCCTGGAACCATGTAAGTGACACTAATTCTAAAATAGTTTTTATGTGTACGTGTTGAGTAGTAAGAATAATTTATATATTAATTTTAGTGTGGTTCTTGCAGGACTTGTTATTGTTTCAAAACTGAGTAGATATTACGCCATTCTTTTGTTCGTAGAAGGATAAATAATATTATTCCTTGTATGGTCGCAGGGGAATGGCCTTGTCTTTAACAATTAGTATCATCTTCTATTACCTTTGTTCTAAGGATGACCAACGCTTTCTGTAATTATTCCTTACAGCCCTGACGTTGGTGTTTGAATGTCGGGTACACTGGGGTTTAGCTAGATGTTTGCGAGACGAGTTGTAATAATGTCTCCTTATTATTGCGTATAGAGCAGACCCAGGAGGTCAATAACCTAGACGATTATCCCACGAGTCAGAGATGCGTTTGAGCAATGAAACAGCCGATGCTCCATTGTTGGATTTAGCATGTCGTATTGACAACAATCGAACAGCTAAATGAGTTCGTGTTGATAAATGTTGAGG